ATGTAAAATGGACCATAAAACATGTATCACACGACACTTTCATATTGTGACCCCCCAGTGACCTGACCTCTGTGACCTGACCTGGTATCAGTGACCTCAAATAGCAAAGTATGTGTTTGAAGAACATTTCTCCATCGATGATTTTCAATGAAATGCATTTTACTCGATTTTACAACGCATTTCTTGAAATGCCTGTAAACGGTGAAAATTCGACCTTTGACCTGACCTGTGACGTCATCGGTTTGACCGAGGTCAATGAAATTGGGTCACAAGGTAGTTCCCCGCTGGGGCTATCCAACACCGTTTACCGCTTGTCGCTATGTTGCGTGGTTCTCGAGATCTGAGGGGGGGCCAAAATGGCCCCCCCCCCCATCAGACCGCGTTGCTCGGCAGACCCCATCTGGGCGCGGGTTAATTTTTTGCAATAATGCGTATAACTTGGCCATTTTTGAAGATATTTAGCTAAAATTTGCTAGAGTTAGTCATAATAATGCGTTCTATCACATATATTCCGTTTTTTTCGAAAAGTCAATTTAAAAAAAATATAAAAATATAATTTTTTAATTTAATTATATAAAAAATCTTCTAAATTTTAAAAATTTCGAAAATCCGAGATAGCAGTTTGATAGCGCAGTCTATTCTGAGTCCTTTCATGCAAAGAAATTGGATCTAGCTTAAAAATTGAGCTCTTGGGAGTGATTGCCGTGGTTCAATGTTTTGCGTCGAAATCGGCCCAACATGACATCACTCTGACGTCATTTCCGGCCGACCTATGGTAGGTACGAAGTTCAAATTTTGACACAAGGTGTGAAATTGATGCAGCCGAAGGTACTGAAAGTGTGGCGTCGATACGTTAACCCTCGCCCGCACATGCCATTTTCCCATCCTAGAACGCACATGGGGGGGGTGGTTGCCACCCCCCCCCCGCGCCATTTCGTTCCTGTTGGAGATAGAGCTTAGCAGTAAAGACCAAAAAGATTCTTTGGGAAGAGACGAATCCAATGATACCCAGTTTTACCTTCTCAGGTCAGTCATTGACCTTCCAGGTCAGGTCAAACTAAAAAATGTTGCTGTTTTGGGTCACCGTTGGATATCAAGTGTGCTGCTTATCAAATACCGATGACGATGCTGTTTTCTGGTGCCAAGCCAGCTAGAACCTCTTTGTCACACTACCCGACCAGAATTTTGCTGCTGAGGTCATTTCAGGTCAAGTTAGGTCAAGGTCAATTATATGTGTTTGTATGTCTGTGTGTGTCTGTGTGTATACTGATGTGTGTACCGACTGTTTTTGGGTCCATATTACATGAAATCATGATCTGAGAAGCTTTTACCAAAAATGCAGTCAAAAAACCTCAAAAAAAGTAAATTCAGCTTGCCTAAAACGCAATTATCTTAGGTGACCTAGGTTGACCTTGACCCTGACCTTGACCCCTGTACATCGTCGAACAACATGTTCCATGATAGGTAGGAGGTAAGACTGGCAAAAAAGGCCGAAATCAGGGTGTCAAAAGCTCATAAGGCCCATGGCAAACGCAAGATGTTGAGAATTGGCCATTTGGGTCATGACATGACCTGAAAAACAAGGTCATATCTCCGAAACCAAAAATCACAGAAACTTGAAATTTTCAGTGGACATCAAGAAAGGATAGAGGAGCAGCTATACGAAAAATCAGCCGTCTAGCTCTAAAAATGTTGAGTGCAGAGCAGAAAGACTACCTGGGGGGGGTGGCAACCACCCCCCCCCCCCATGTGCGGGCGAGGGTTAAGCGGTTTGGAAGTTATTGCAGAAAAACGGGAGGGGGGCTATAAATAGCCCCCCCCCCAGTGGGGCGCGGGTTAAACATTTCAAAACATCTAGGAATTTAGTACACAAGGTTTACGAAAAAGTGCAAAGTTTGAGGCAAAATTTGAGCATGTCCTTGACCTAGACCTTGAATTTTGATGGCACTTGTTCGGAATCCTCAGATTCTCTTCTTTCGTTTCGCACCCATTTTGGCCGGTTTTGTGCCCCCTGCCGCCCTTTGGAACACTTTTTGAGATCACCACAGATGTTGGTTTTGGCCTTTGACCTTGACCTGTGACCTTGAAAATCGACCTGAGGTAAAAAAAAATTGGTGCTTTAGAATCGGCTCATAAAGACCTTTTGTTTTGGTACCACTTTTATTTTCCGTAGTCCATTATGTAGGTACGGAGTTAGACAGTAGGGGAGGGGGGGGGGGCGAAAAACGCCCCCGGGCCTGGCCGGGTTAAACTTAAATTATTGTTTATTCGACATGTCTCGATGATAGAGATATGATGCTCTTCGAGTTTTTCGTGAAAAGTTACTGCAGAAACTTTTTAACCCGCGCCACGTTGGGCTCTGCCGACCAACGCGGCCCGTTGGGGGGCCATTTTGCCCCCCCCCCCTAAGATCTCGAGAACCACGCAACCTAGCGACAAGCGGCAAACGGTGTTGGATAGCCCTATCAGGGAACTACCTTGTGACCCAATTTTATTAACCTAGGTCAAACCGATGACGTCACAGGTCAGGTCAAAGGTCCAATTTTCACCGTTTACAGGCATTTTAAGAAATGCTTTGTAAAATCAAGTAAAATGCATTTCATTGAAAATCATCGATGGGGAAATGTTCCTCAAACACATATTTTGCTATTTGAGGTCATTGATACCAGGTCAGGTCACAGAGGTCAGGTCACGGGGGGTCACAATATGAAAGTGTCGTGTGATACATGTTTTATGGTCCATTTTACATGACATATGCGATTATGTGGGTCAGGCAGCCTTTGGGGCCAGCTTAGGTCACGTTTTGGTCAAGGTCAGGTCAAGGTCAGGTCAAGGTCAGGTCAAATTTCGAAGTTGATATTTTTGCATAAAGTGGGTATCGAATCGATGCAGCTCGTCACGGGGAGTTCAATGGTGGTCTTTATTTTGCCGTACGTGGTCTAGAATCGCTAAAAATTGAGTTAACCCTCGCCGGACCTATTGGTTTTCTACATACGCGCCGGCCGAGGGGGGGGGGCGGGTACGACCCTCCCCCTCGCCGTTTCGCCCCTGGTGGAGCTAGCGCGTCGCGGAAAAAACGAGCGTGTGCGCCGTTACGAGACGCAGAGATTGGTACCCGATTTTAAGGTCCTAGGTCAACCGGTGACCTCTGAGGTCAGGTCAAGTGCCCCAGGGTACGGTTCAGTTTTTGGTGAATTACTTCGCAAAAAACGGCCGCAGAGCCGCGATTTTGGCAGCATCGTGTTCGCCTCGCTCAGGCGCGTCGAATGATATACTTTTTGTTCGGGTCAGGTCAACTTGGGGTGTTGACCTCAGGTCAAGGTCAGGTCAGCACCCCCAGGTCACGAAGTTGGTCGAAAGAGGTCATGTCGCATATCATTCGATTCGGCAGGTCTTCCTGAGTCCATTGGTGGCTTTCTCGACTCGCTAGCTCAATTTGATCGGGAGTTATTGACGAAAAACTAATATGACCTTGATGACGTCATAAATGACGTCACGCAAGGTCAACATTGCAAAAGTGACGCATCTAACCTTGCAAGGAGTGCATCAAATCACGATTCTGTGTGCTTGAGATAGTTGGAGATCGTTCCCGGCGCCAGAATAGCAGTTTTCATTTTTCCCCATTGACTTATAATGGTGAGGTCACGAAAATGACCTGACCTCATATGACCTTTAGGAAAAATCCGAGATATACAAGTTGTGAGACTCATAATGGATACTAGATCCTGCAAGTTTCATTTCCCTGTGACATCTCCTCTGGCAGTGAGGGCGTTGCGAAGTCGCGACATCTGAAGACCGTGCAGAGGTTCACTTATGACGTCATAGGTCAGTGACCTGACCTGACCCAAAAATGCGGTTGGTGTCAAAAGATGCGGCTTGGATCAAAGGTCAGGTATGCCAAGTTTCAGCTCTCTATCGCCAGCGTGTTCGGAGCTATCGCGAAAAAACCCTATGGGGGGGGGCGGCACCCGCCTCCCCCCCTCGGCCGGCGAGGGTTAAAGGAAATAGTTCACTTTTAACATGGGGTTTTGAGCTGGAATAGCAGTTTCGTAGCTTGAGCTGAGACTAGCACAAATCAGGAGCTTTTACGGCTCAACGATCACCCTAGACGAAGATATTCCATTTCTCGTTCCGAAAAGAGTGCCTTGTAGAGGAATGCGTGCCTTGCACAGGAATGCAGCCACGTCATCGTCAGCCAATCAGCGTGCTGCTTACAGCCAATGCAGTATGCGTAGGTTTGAGCTACGCAATATGATTGGTCAATGCGTAATAAGCTTCCGCGTCAAACATTATTTTACATAGAATATAGTTCGTCCTATATTGAAATATAGAAAATAATTGTTTTTACAAAAAGGTTTTATTTTATTTCATGATTATTTTGAGCATAAAAAATCATAAATCAATAGCAAAATACCGATTTCAGGAAAGTGGACTGTTTCCTTTAAACAATTTGACGTCATCATTTTTGAACAGTTTTTTCGCTATAACTTGGCCAAAAAACGAGACGATCTGAAATTTGGTATGTATATAGCAGAGCACAGGGGCTATCACATGTATTCCGATTTTTTCGAAATTCGGAAATTTTTTGATTTTTTTAAGTTTTTCTAAAAAAATCAATTTCTTGAATTTTTTGGGATCAAAAACCAAAAATTTTGAAAATCCGAGATAGCATTTTTGTAGCGCCGCTTTTTGTCTACTAGACTATATAAAGAACTTTGAAATTGCTTTATAACTGTAGATTTGGTGAGCGTTTCAAGATTGCATGTTTTTTGCTCATTTTTGCTCGAACATGACCTCAGTTTAACCTCAATAACTCCTGACCTAAGGTGACTTAAGACTTGAAATTTGGTGTGAAGGTGTCAAATTGATGCCCGGGAAGGTACTGAAAATTTGGCGGCGCTGCGCGCCGCCGTTTTCTTGCTATTCAGGAAAAACCACAGGAGGGGGGCAAAATGCCCCCCCCAACGGGGCGAGGGATTAAGTCTCATAAACACAGCGCATAACGTATTTGTGGCGCTGGCGCAGACCGCCCAGCCTGTATATTATTCATCCACAAACACAGGTGCAACAGAAATCACAACATTGGCACAAGAGCATCACAACGACCCGACCTGAAAGACGCTCCGGACGAACAGCAACCCAAGGTCACTCGAGTGGCAATCGTGGGGTCAAAAACACGGTGCAACATTTCTACAACGGTATTAAGTACTTCATGATGTGAATTTCGAGCACAATTTCCGACAATCTTGCCAGGTCGAGCGAGTACACAGCAGTCAACATGTTACTGACGCTTGTAGAAGCGCTTGCAGGAGATGTTGTCGACGGTCGCGATCTGCCGGAAAACATCAAAACATGTCACGTGATGTTAAAAGCCAGCACATGGCCAGCACAATCATGAAATAAATAATGTCCGTTTGAAATACTGGAAAAACCTGACGTTTAACCCGCGCCCTGGTGGGGTCTGTTTATAACGCGACCTGGTGGGGGGCTATTTTTTGCCCCCCCTCGTATCTCCGAAACTACTGAACGGATCCGCAAAATTCAAACGGCGTTCGAAAGGCCTGTCAAATTTGTCGACGGAAACCAAATTTCATTGACCTCGGGGTCACCGATGACGTCACAGGTCAGGTCAAAGATGAAATGTTTCACCGTTCACGGGTCTTCTAGGGAATGCGCTATAACACCGAGGAAAACGCATTTTGTCGAGAATCAGCGATAGGGCGTCAGTTGCCTAGTAGATATGTTGCTATTAGAGGTCACTGACAATACCAGGTCACGTCACAGGTCAGGTCACCAAGGGTCACAGGTCAGGTCACATGAGCCCAACTTTACTAAGGTTGTGTGATGCATGTTTTATGGCCAATTTTTCATTTCCAACTCAATGGTGTTGGTTATAAGACTATCAGGAACGGCTTAGGTCACTTTCTGGTGAAGTTCAGGTCAAGGTCAGGTCAAGGTCAGGCCAAAAAAGGTCAAATTTTAAAATTGATAGTTTTGCATAAAATGGGTATTGATTCGATGCAGCTCGTCACGGGGAGTCTAATGGTGGTCTTTGTTTTGCGCTACGGGGTCTAGAATTGCTAAAAATTGAGTTTGAAAATTTGACGTCATCAATTTTGAACAGTTTTTTCGCTATAACTTCGCCAAAAAAAGAGGTGTCAATCTCAAATTTGGTATGTGGATGGACGGTGGCAAGGACTATCACATATATTCCGGTTTTTGCGAAATTCAAAAAACTTTTTGGATTTTTCGATCATTATATAAAAAAAAATTATTTTTTGATTTTTGGGGGTCAAAATCCAAAAATTTCAAAAATCCGAGATAGCAGTTTTGTAGCCCTGTCATTTCTACATCTTTTATGTACTTATCATTTTTTGTATTTGCAAAGCTATAGGCCTGACAGCTCTTCCCGCGAAACCCTTTTTTGGGTCGAAAACGGCAGAACATGACGTCACTCTGACGTCATTTCCGGCCAACCTATCATAGCCTTTGGAAAAAGTTTTGGTCACCATGTGTAAAATTGATGTCCGGGAGGGTACTGAAAATTTGGTGACGATCGGCGCAGCGGTTCTGGAGATATATCGAAAAGTCTGGAGGGGGGGCAAAAATAGCCCCCCCCCCCCCCACCAGGTCGCGGGTTAAGATCGTCACGTGATCGAGCTGTCTGAGACACAGCAAATCTATTGTGGTGAGCATTGCGGCGGAGAGAGAGAGAGAGAGAGAGAGAGAGAGAGAGAGAGAGAGAGAGAGAGAGAGAGAGAGAGAGAGAGAGAGAGAGAGAGAGAGAGAGAGAGAGAGAGAGAGAGAGAGAGAGATATGGAGGAGCTGTGCCCTCGACACATCTACCAGCTCGCTTTTTTCCCACCCTCTCTGCAAATAGCTCTTCATTTCATGCCCTCAACGAGCCAACAAAAGCGTCAGGTCATTTTCCAATTTGCCGACCGCGCGTCGGATGTTGATTGTTTATCGCGTAGATCATCGTTGGGGTCGGGGAATTGGAGAAAAACCCACCCCACTGTCGCCAGGGATGCTCGGTTCGTTGAACCATGGGTCGGTCGAGTTAAGCTGAGTTAGTGGATGTGTTGGAGGGGTAGGGGGAGGAGACTCACCGAGGTGATACCGGCGTCGGAGAACTCGCGGATGATGATGGAGGTCTTGTCGCCGACCTGCTTGTCGATGATCTTGTCGCCCTCCTTGGTGACGATCGACTGTGAACAGAAGGTACGGTATGTTAGGTTAGATTAGGTCAGAAACGTGTGATCTATTCGGTCACATCTTACCTGGACAGTTAGATGAAGAGTTGTCTCATTGAAACTGGTGAGGCCTGCTCTGACATGCTGATAACAAGCAGTTTTATTGGGTATTGACTATTGGGAGTTGAGTTTTAAATGAATCGGAAACCAGATAGCATTTCGTGCACACCAACTTGTCTTTTCCAAAGTTCAGCGACAGTTTCCGCCCGTCACAACCACAAAGCCGTCTAATACCGCGGCCGAGCTGTCCGAATACCAAACTGGGCAGTTTTCCTGGACACACAGCTCCCGTCTAATTTTTGCGGCCTCGGGCCGGCTGACGGCCACTGAGTCGACACGACAGTCGGGTCATTGACGTCACACATCGTGCCACGCCACCGTGACGTCATCGGTGGTAGGTGGTCGGCCGGTAACGCGGCGAGTCCGGGGCTGCGACGGTCGAGCTGAGTGCTGAGTGCCCGGCGGCCGAAAATAGCGACAGATGGAGACGGAGAGGAGATGGACTGCACGGCGACACACCACTCGCAACCGGCTCAGTGCTAATGCACGGCGCACGCGCCTTCAAGGAAGCAAAGGACCGCCGCACCGTCGCGCGGTTGGGGCATAACGTGGCGCTTTCATTCATCATATGCTATTTATTTACACTCTAACTTCCTTAGCTATCAACAAAGTCAATGAAGCAGCCTATCCAATTTTGCGAGAGCGACTGATATACCCTATGTCCAAAATCATCCCATTTTTGGTACGCACTCAAATAAAACATCTCCGGTTTTCTTCAATTAGGTACGGGATACCTTGTGCGCATATTTGGACCCACCCTCGACCTGACAGAGCCGTATAAATGTCACTGGACCGCTGGTTTGGTCCGTTTGTCCCGCGCTATCTCAGGTGGGGCGTAACGTAATATTTTGGCCGGTCTCGGCTGAAGTAGGTACCGCCTTTATAGAATGCATGTGACGTCCGACCACGTGCTAGTGCTTGTTAGACCACTCGCTCGTTTCTCGTGACTCATTTCGCCGCCCCCTGTTTATTCCCTCCCTTCAATGTTGTCAGATTGCTCCAAGAAGTGTGCGCCTTATCTTGTGGGCCTTGAGCCCACAAAACATTGTGAGTGGTAGTGTTTATATGGAGTTAAACTCGAAGACAATTTGAAAGTATTGATGGGGGGACAGTATAGTAGCCGAACAAACGCTCGGCCATCGGCATGCCACCGAACCAAGTTAGGGGTTCAATGACACCCATACTGCCCACACCATTAGCCTGCTACCGGCGTTCACATTCAGCCAAATTTCGACAGCCACGGGGCGGGACGGATCTGGGACGGGTCATGGCTAAGTATGACGTCGGGCCAGCGTCTGCCAGAGACTCGCAGTTCAGGGCCGGTCTCTGACGGTGTCGTCGAGAGCCCGGCTGCACGTGACTGCTTCTGAGCTCCCATTGGCTTCATCATGAAGTCGAAAAAGAAGCTATAGGAATGATTGGTCGTATAGGTTGTATATTAGATCATTTGCTTGCGTTATATAACAAGTACCGTATTGTATAAAAATATCTGAATATTTTTGTATAAATATTATCATTACTTGAGAATATATGAATAAGCATGTTAATATTTTGCTCGAGAACATGTTCGTCGTGACCAGTACCTGATAAATATTTACCTATCAGTGAAGTAGCTACTCCGGGTCTATACCGACAGCCCAATCGCTTATCCTAATAGGAAATGCATCATCCTCGCAGGAGAATCAGCTTCGGAGACTGTCATACGCGACAAATGGCTCTGGACGGTCCAATTAGTTAATGGACCGACGTCCCTCCCGTATTTGCCCTGTGCAAACGGGCTGGTCCGGAGCGGGTCATTTGGTGGCCAGACACAAACGGAGACATCGCTCATCTCGCGGTGACGGCCTGTTTTCTCAGCCGGGAGCGCACCTGAACGCGGGGAAAGGGCGCCGCTGTTGACTCACTGCTGACAGCGCAGGTTGACGTGACGGCGCCGTGCCGGGCTGTTCGTTCCCATCGCTACAGGGCATTGTATAAGGGTTTGACACGGTTACCACCTATTAACGCAAAATATGTATCCAACTGAACATAAATTGAGGCATCAAAATAAAGACGCAATAAAATAATAAAGTTTATATTTTTTGTTGTACTTTTTGTCGACATTTGCAATCAGTATATTCAACAAAACTTTGTTTTAGGTTTAAACGCGAACTCCATTTTGTCTGCAGAAGGTTTAAAACTTCGAATGCCCTCGGGAGCCGTGTGTACCCATTATCTGCTGACGGAACCCATCTCCTCCCCCCCCTCGGACCGCCCCCGCGGCCGGCCGGAGGCCACGTGGCTGGGGGTTGGGCCGAGGGGAAGGGGGAGGGTGGCCTGCCTAGCAACACCCCGAGCTGGGCTCACCGCGGCGGGCTCCGGAACGATTTATCTCAATGGGACTGGTCTGTGGCAAGAGCGGACTGCAGCTGGGTGAGTGCAGCGCCGCACGCCGCTCCGCCCCCGCGCGGCCCCGCCCCTGCTCTTCTCTTAGGCACGCACCGGCCGCCCGACAGGGGCAGACTGGCCAGCCCGAGGCCAATGATGGGTCTAAGCTCGGACTATTCTATTCTATGTCGTCGCCGAACAGCTATAAGATATCTGACAGCTGAGTCTCAGATTGCGTGAGGCCTCGGCAAGGCACGGTATTCGTGCTGGATAAGATAAGTCGTAGCAGCGTGTCATTATGTAACCCCAAATGTGTCGTCCGAACCGGTCAAATCCGGTCAAATAAAAGAGCATGACATCTCTTATGCTCTTGGTACCTGACGAGCAAAAACTGATTGCGTCAAGCGTTCTGCTGCCGAGTAGGTACGCCAAACATTGACGTTCAAGAATAAATTATTGTAACAACCATACCAATTTGAGTTGCTCCGTATTCTTTGGATAACAAGCTAGCAGCCAAGATTTTTATAGATATTAAAGCAATGAAAATACTACAAAAAAAGACGGCAAGCGATAACGAACGTAGAGCTGCTTGAACACCGTTACATTCTAAATTGTGCGCCATTCAAGAATAAAAGATGATGAACGAAGGTAGCGGATAGCAATGAATGTGAACACCTCGCATCACAGTATGCCTATACTGCATTATCCATTTTACAAATGCATTGCAATTTAGATGGACGAAAATGTTGTGTTTAGTGGGTACGTGCATGACAGATGAGGGAGCAGTAAGTACCAAAACGAAACTAGGTGATGGGTTGTGTAATAAAAATCTTCAAGTGCAAAAAATTGTTGCATTTTTATCATTTCTTCGACCTCTCCTTTCAACCGTATGAAGCTTTCTTACCCGCTGACCTCGACTGTCCTCGACCCCTGAGTGATACTGACCTTGACCTTGCGGCCGTCGGGGGTGGACTTCTCCTGCTCGACACCAATGGTGAACTCCTCCTCGTGGGTCTTGAACGAGGTCACCTGCTTGATCTTCCAGTGGTCGCCGTCGACGGTCACGGTCAGCACGGGCGTGGCCGAGGCGGCCGCCTTGCGGGTCAGCATGCCCACTCCTGTCGGGTCAGGAGGAAGGAGTGTTACCACGGTGGAGACAGGTGGGACCTACCCCAGATATCGAGACAAATAACTAGAGATATTGCATGAGTTCAGTCTAGGATTGCTTGATTGTTTTGATTGCTATACCATGGATGAAGAAGAACCTCCATGGCTATACTGTTTGATCATGTTCTTATTTTATCATAATTTGATACAGCATGAATAAAAACACATACAAGAAGTATATCAAAAGGAATAAGGATTCGAATTACAGAAGGCTAATGATACGGCGGCGTCCACAAACACTGTCCAATGTGCCAGCTTCGTATCTTACCGACAGCCTTCATGTACTCGTCGAAGTTCTCCGACGTCTCCAGCTTGTACTCTCCGTTGTAGGCGACCATGGTGGCTGTTTGGGTGTCGGCGGGCCGAGGAGGGAGGAAGAGACTCAGACGAGGGCGATTGGCAGAGTGGCGACCCTCGGCGCACCCCTCGGCTCGTCACCTCGCATTCACCGATAAGGCGGCGTGGCTCGGGCAAAGTCAAAGTTTGCTCAGTCGAAAGTGCGCCCGGTGCACACGCCTGTCGCGTCGCCGAGTCGCCAGGTCGGCCGTTGAAGTCAAGTGCTTGTCTACGTATTTTTTCGTAACCTTTTTCTAGTGAGATAGTGGCTTAAGCAGTCGGTGGAATTGTCGGCAAACATTTCTTTGGGAAGTCTCAAGTGACTTGGACCATGGCGCCAGATCAATTTCAGCTTTTAAGCCATAAAAAACTTGTCGAGATTGTTTATCTCTATTTTCTTCACGTCTGCACCTAGCGTGACTCGCGATACATACAGGTGATCCGATAAGTCTTATGTGCTTGCTTAGTGCTTACATTACATACCAATTTTCATGCTTACATGCCCTTCATGCTCTAAACCGGCTAGTTTCTATAGTACAATTACTATACAAGGGTTGTATGTACTTGTTTGACAACTGCTGTCAAGCTCAGTTGTCAAATAAAGATTGAGTGGGCTTTGGCGAAGGGTGTATCAGCGGCGGTTATGTTATCATTATGTATACGTACAGTATACAGTGTACACTGTGCATTGTTCAATGTTCATTGTATGTACAGAACGTTTATTTATAAAGCGAACTGCAAATATGCAGTTGCCACATGTGCGTTACAAACCCAATGTCAGTCCCCTTTCCATATTTTGAGACAGGCGACTGTTAACACACAAGAGCGAGCCACGTTAAAATAAAAATGTTTTTTTATGAAGTCATTGACTGACTAGGAAATAGCGCTGCTGGTTCGAGCCTATTCAAATAATACGGACCACCTCGATCCCGTTTAATTTACACAAAGAAATAATCTCAAGCATGACTTCTGGCTGCGTTCAATAGTCAGCTCAAACTGAGTGCTTAGGAAAGAGCTCCTAAAGTCCGTTTTCTTGTTGCAGGGTGAAAGTGTTTATCACAATCAACTAATTGGATTATTCGCTTTCGTTTCGGAGCATTGTGTCAACATCAAATGCAGTTCGCTAGCATCGTTCCTCTCACTAATGGCTCATATTTTAAAGACAACAAATTATTTATAATGCCTCAATTCCCGCATCTGTATGAGTATCTTCTCATTTGAATCACAATTCCAAATGGAAACGGACGTATTTGTTCGTCTTTGCAGGTAATATAAACGATACGAACATTGTGTGGAAAAGTCCTTATTTGAAGAGCTCCGTTTCAGAGACCGGCAGCTGCTGGCTCCCCTCTCACCCCCCCCCCCCCCTCCCCCTGGAACGGGCAGCTGTCGGCACGGCTGCGCCTATTATGTCGCGGCGTGTGCCGGCTGGGGAGGGACAGGGGAGGGCAATTCAAACGCCACGCGCTCTGCGGCCCAGGCTTTCCGCAGTCTTCAGCCTGCGCTATCAATAGCAATGATGCATCGCCTGGCTGGGATTTGTCACCTTAGGCGTCTCTCTCTCTCTCTCTCTCTCTTTCTCTCTCTCTCTCTCTCTCTCTCTCTCTCTCTCTCTCTCTCTCTCTCTCTCTCTCTCTCTCTCTCTCTCTCTCTCTCTCTCTCTCTCTCTCTCTCTCTCTCTCTCTCTCTCTCTCTCTCTCTCCTCCACCACATTCTCTCCAGTTCTAGCCCGCCGTAATCACGTCGTTCTCCATGGCCAACAAGAGGCTGGAGTCATCCAACGCCAGGATGACCCAGGTGATCACTCGACCTGAACCCGCCCCGGTCTGAAACGGCTCGGAAATGCCTGTCGTTAGGTGGGAGCGGGGCGTGGCAGCTGGGGGGGGGGGGCAGGTTTATCGGTGCCGCGATGTCGGGAGCTCAAGTTCACCCCCCTCCCCTCATGTAACGGGGCGGGGGCGGGTCAAAGGTCAGAGACAAAGTCCGACCCGTGCCGACCGATCGAACGTACTCGATCGGTGGTCTGATGAAATTTGGTGGACTAATGCTGCGACATCATTACTACCTCATTTTCCATTTCGGACAGCGGTATATAAATGAAGACAAGCCATGATTTGCTAGCTGTCTCGATTTCAAACTGAACTTTTTATTTTGTGAAAAATATTAAACGAAGAAGTTAAGAGTCTCTTCAAACCATAAGATAATATGCAAGTCATTAACGGTAGGGGAAGTTGGGGGAACGCCGAAGACTTTTTTTCTGACGCCCGTAGCACGCAAGGTAGACAACATACGCTATTCTTGTTGGCGTCATTCGAGAGGCCAGTCTTTTGCCTTTCAAACATACCAGGTGCATTTGATGAATTCGCATACCGTTAAGCGCACAAACTAAAAATATCAAAGAAGTGACTTTTTCGGCGTTGCCCCGGACTGCGGGGAAAGCCGAAAATGGGAGAAATGATCTACGGGGAATGCCGACATTGATGTTTTGCCATTTTATCTCCAACTTTATCCAGAATTCATCAAAGCTGACACACGTTTCAAGAGCTTGAGGACGCGGTGCACACTGGAAGTTATAATTGTGTGATATAATAAGAAAATGCCAGGTAAATCATTCCTTATAGGTAACAGGCCGTTGTGTCGGTTGAAAGTGTAATTTGTGTGACTAAAAATACGCGTTGCTATTCTACAGCAGTAAAGTCCACGTAGCGTGCTTTTAACACGTGCGTAATCGCACGTTTTCGGCATTACCCCAGCCAGCCATACTTTCATTTGCAGGCCCATAACTTTTCAACGTGCTGTATAAATTTCAAATAGGCAGCACACTTATGCAAAGACATGCTAAAGATTACTTGACCGAATTGGCCAGACAAACGGTAGCATAATGAGTAAGAAATGCAGCTTCAAAGGCGCATGTAGTACAAGGGAAACGTACCTTGAAAACGCTCTTGGCGCCCTCACAGTCGAAGTATTCCGAATGACGACTCGTAACAAACATGCGATAATTGTAGTCACTTAAGCTTCAGAGCATCACTGACAGGTGGCATCCATGTCTTACGGTTTTCGAAATATCTCGAATTTCGGCTTTGCCCCAACTCCGGCATTGCCCCAGCTTCCCCTATAATGTAAAATAATAAATAATGTCATTGCCTGATTAGGTATGTGTTAAAGCTTACATATATGTAAAAACACTGGTTAAATGAACGCGCGTCAAACTCATTTTACGGTACAAACTTATTCAAATAATCCTGAGAACAACAACAGACGTCCCACAAACATTTATCCTGAGAACAACAACAGACGTCCCAAAAACATTTTCACATTTTCGACCTTCGAGACCCACCATTCGTCAAAATGAATATGACTCGGGGTTATTTCTGTGGATCTTGACTAGTTTATGGCCCTCAAAAGGATGCTCAATCTGTTCAACCATGTTCCAGAAAGCGCATCGAACGATACCGTGCAGCCTGTTAATCATTAGAATACATAGGCGCGGGAGCCGGGGGGGGGGCAGTGGGGGCAGCTTGCCCCCCCAACTCTGGGGCCGTGGGGGCGATGCCCCCACAGCTTTGAGACGGAATACCACACTTTTTTTGCAAATGTTTTCTTTTTTTGTTGAAAAAGCCGAGGGGTGAAAAATAAGTGGCCTAAAACCGGTGAGAAAACTAGATTTGGGGGTACCCTAGGTTGATCTCTATTATGGTGTGCCACCCCAGTCGGAAAGTAGTTCCCGCGCCCCTGTTAGAATCAGGGGCGTAACTTTGTATACTTTTGGGGAGGCAGGTGCCCCCCCAACTTGAAATTTTGCCACCCCAACATTCCGTTTGCCCCCCCAACCTTGGTGGGCGCCCCCAGGCCCGAAAGGCGCCCTCACGGGCCAGCGGCGTCATAGGAGCGCGTGCGCCATCTTTCAAGGGGGCGCCATCGCCTATATGGAAATGGGATGCGTGAGAGGGGAACCTCTGAGGCCGTGGGGGCGCCTGCATGCGAAAGAGGGGCGCCCATGAAGTCCTCAGGGGCGCCTCAATGCAAAACACGGGCGCCTGAGATGGCCACAGGGGCGCCTGCATGCGAAAGAGGGGCACCTTATTGGCCTCTGAGGCCCTTCGGGGTGCCTCTGAGGTCTATAGTATAGGGGGCGCCCACATGAAAAAGGGCGCCCATTAAGGCCATAATGGCGCCCCAATACGAAAGAGGGGAGACTGCATGCCAAATGGGGGCGCCTCCGAGGCCCATAGAAAGAGGAGCTCCAGTTGAAGCCCAAAGGGGCGCCTCAATGGGAATTAGAGACGCCTGTGAGGTCTATAGGGGCACCTCTGATGCCCATGTCGAGAGAGTCGTCAGTCGTTTGTGTAACGTTCCTCAGGGATGGTGCGCCGCTTGCGGCAAGTAAAAACTTAGCTAAATAGCGTGCCCCATTGGTTAAAAAGCGCCCCTCGAGCCAAAGTGGTGCCCCTCTGACAACACGCACGTCTTATGTCATCTGTTTTGCTAATAACTAATGCCCCCGCATGCAGAGCGGCGCCCATCCGTTTATCAATGTGACCCTTCAGGTGGATGAAGCGCCCCTCTGGCCAATACCTTATCATCATTGTTGCTAGAACAGCGCCCCCAGTCCGTAGACTGCCCCATTGGCTCCTGAAGGCGCCCCTCGTGCCCGTTTTGGCGCCCCTCTGCACTGAGTAATGAAATGTATGTGGCCTACCAATTCTTAAGGGCGCTCCTTGAGTCATAATCATCGCTCCTCGGGGAGGGGGGGGGGGGGGAGGCTAGAGGGCCTAGATACCATAGCACGCTATAGTGTGTTATGGCATCCCTGCTGCTAAAACGGCACACTTAGCTAGGTTAGCGCCTCAACGGTTCATACAAGCGCCCCTCGAGCCGAAGTTCGCGCTCCTCTGACTTACATAATTTCCTTGCTAAGTACGACGCCCCTCGCTGGGCATGGGGTGGCGCCCCACCAGTTAACCAACGCGCCCCTTTAGCCACATGAAGCGCTCCTCTGGTCAATGCGGTCAATACCTTATTTCATCACTGCAGCTAGAGCGGCGCCCCTATTTCGGTGGCTGTTCCATCGGTTCCTGAAGGCACCCCTCGAGACAGTTTGGAGGCCATTTGCAGTGAGCATTAAAATTGATGTGGTTAAGAATGGCGCCCTCTGCACGGTGTCGCACCGATTCTAAAGGGCGCCCCTTGAGTCAATGTAATCGTCCCACAGGGCCTTGTGTGTTATGGTATCCCTGCTGTTAAAGCGCCACTCTTGCTTGGCGTAGCGTCCCAACGGTTCATAGCACCCATCGAGCCAATGTTAGCGCTCCTCTGACTATACTGGTATCCTACATCATCTTTTTTGTTCAAAGGGTGGCAAAATGTGGACCCGAGGACCCGGTCAAAAGAACCGGTCTGGACCCATATGGGTCCGGACCGGTTCCTGGAAATTTTCTGGCGGGTCCAACCGGGTCCTTCCATAAACCATACATAGTGGACACTACATATGATTGCAAAATATGAAGTGAATGGAAAGAAAACAT